CTATCATTACTCACCTCAAGCCGGCCAAAATCCTAGCTCGCTATGCCCTTGCCTCTCAAATCGGCCTCCTCGCGCGTAGAATCTGATCAAAACCACAACGAGTACATCACAATAGGCTAAGGGAACATAACCCAATCGAAAAGAATTGAAAAACATCAAAAATCACGAAATTTGCAAAACCCGAGCCCCGGGCCCACTTCTCGAATTTCAGAAAATTTTACATCAACGGATTCCTTATCTCGCCACGAGTCTATACATATAAAGATTACCAAAATCGGAGTCCAAATGACCCCACAAATCCCAATTTTTGCTCTCTTAAGTTTCAAGTCCTAAACCACCATTTTTGCCCATTAATTACTTGAGTTTTCAGCTCTAATCCATGTATTTACACCATAGAATCGTGTTTTAAGTCCAAGAATCCATATCTTATCGAAACCCCTTGAAATCTCTCTTCCAAATCGCCCACAATCCTCCAAGTCCGAGTTAAAAATATGAAACCCTTCAAAAATTCGCGTAGATGGAATTAAATAGCTCTGCCCGGTCATTGCCGCATCTGCGGTCACATTCTCGCATCTGTGACCTCCGCTTTTGCAGTCAGCACACCGCTTCTGCGGTCGTAACCCCGCATCTGCGGCTTTCGCTTCTGCGAACCAAGTTCTGCATTTGCGGATCCCTCCACAGTCTCAAATACCGCATCTGCGGTCCTCCAGTCGCATCTGCGACTCCGCAGATGCGGTCACCAAATCCGCACCTGCAGTCCTACCCGCTTCTGCAACTCACCCCTCGCCCCTGCGGTACCGCTTCTGCGGTCCCAATTCCGTAGAAGCGAAAATACCAGAAGCATCAGCAACTTCTTCTTAAGTTTCACAAGCCAAAACTTCCCGTTAACCATCCGAAATCACCCCGAGGCCTCCGGGACCCCAACCAAAAGCACCAACACATCCTAAAACATCATTCAAACTTGTTTCAATCATAAAAACACCTCAAACAATACTAAAACCATCATTTGTCATCGAATTCAAGCCTAAGTTCTTCAAAAACTTCCGAAACCCACATTCGATCAAAAACCCAACCAAAACATCTCCGGATGACCTGAAATTTTACACACACATCCCAAATCACCTAACGAAGCTACAGCAACTCTCGGAATTCCATTCCGACCCTCGGATCAAAATCTCACCTATCAACCGGAGTTCGCCAAAATACTAACTTCGCCAATTCAAGCATAATTCTACACCGGACCTCCAAAATCACTTCCGATCACGCTCCTAAGTCACAAAGCATCCCCCGAAGCTAACCGAATCACCGGAAATTACATCCGAGCCCTCTAACTCATAAGTCAACATCTGGTTGACTATTCCAAACCAAACCTTCCTTAAAGAGACTAAGTGTCTCATTTCCTTCTAAAACCAATTCAAACCAACTCGTTCACACAAGACTCTTATAATCTATTAATATATAATAGGAGAGGCAAAGAACTATTATGATGACAAGTGGCATAACATTAAATTGACACATGTAAAAAATTTGGACAATCCTCCAACTTTCATGGAGTTTCAAAATTCAAATTTATTTAAAAATAGATGTGAAAGACACGTTTTTTTTTCAAAATTCAAAAATTTTAAATTTTTCAAGCAATAGAAACTACCAATAAAAACCACCAACTACTCCCACTTCCTCCACTCCCCTTCCTTTTAAAAACTAACTGAATTTCTCCTCTTGCAAGACACGTTTTTTTTTTCAAAATTCAAAAATTTTAAATTTTTCAAGCAATAGAAACTACCAATAAAAACCACCAACTACTCCCACTTCCTCCACTCCCCTTCCTTTTAAAAACTAACTGAATTTCTCCTCTTGCATATATTGGATTAGAAAAAACGTATAGTTCCCTTTTTTCTTTCACCGAAAAATTTGCCGGGGAAAATTTCATCCAAAATCGTTCTTTGTGATTTTTCGTTGTTCGATGAGTAAATTGCTAAGCATCTAATCATCATTTTGCAATTATGCATCTCAGGTGATGTACTTCCTTCTGCTTTTGACTTTTTCCTTTCATGTGTGAATGCTGAATATATATATATGACTATCTACATACTTTGTTTTTATCAACGTAATACATAAAACTTTTCCCTTCTTTAAAATCTTTAAAACACAAGAAAGAATTTCTTAAGTTTTTGTTTGTTTTCTCGATTTAAATAGTGAAAGGAAGATTTTTTTTCTTCTAGAATTCTTTCATATTAGTTTAGCCTTTATTCTTAGCAGAAGGGGTTGTTTTTAAAAATAGAATATTCTCATTAAAACTCATAAAGTATTAGGAATGATTAAACTACATGGATTAAAATCTGTAATTTGCGCGACTCTAAATGCAAAGAAACATTACCCTTTCAGTTAGTTTAGGCATGATCTTAGCAAGTTTATCCAGAAATCATACAAGTTTATCCGGGGAAAATTGCATCCAAAATCGTTCTTTGTGATTTTTCGTTGTTCGATGAGTAAATTGCTAAGCATCTGATCATCATTTTGCAATTATTCATCTCAGGTGATGTACTCCCTTCTGTTTTTGACTTTTTCCTTCAAGTGTGTAATTAAAGATCTGTTCACTTTGATAAGATTTATGGATATCCTTTGTCCACATGGATACTTAAGGATATTGCATATATTTTGGCAGCTTAAGAATGTTTTCTGCCAAAAGATCTGATTCTTCATTTCTAAAATTAATTCTCTATAACTAGGCTAAGTTATTCAATTTAGTTTTTATCAACGTAATACATAAAACTTTTCCCTTCTTTAAAATCTTTAGAACACAAGAAAGAATTTCTTAAGTTTTTGTTTGTTTCCTCGATTTAAATAGTGAAAGGAAGATTTTTTTTTCTAGAATTCTTTCATATCAGTTTAGCCTTTATTCTTAGCAGATGGGGTTGTTTTTAAAAATGGAGTATTCTCATTAAAACTCATAAAGTATTAGGAATGATTAAACTACATGGATTAAAATTTGTAATTTGCGCGACTCTAAATGCAAAGAAACATTACCCTTTCAGTTAGTTTAGGCATGATCTTACATATGTGAATGTAACATTGCCCGTATTCTTTGCCAAATTCTGTCTTCATCATNACGAAAATACCAGAAGCATCAGCTAACTTTCTTTACTTTAAGTTTCAACAACGACCTAAACCTTACCCGTTAACCACTACCGAAACTCCACCCGACGGCCTCCGGGACCCCAACCAAAAGCACCAACACATCCTAAAACATCATTCAAACTTGTTTCAATCATAAAAACACCTCAAACAATACTAAAACCATCATTTGTCATCGAATTCAAGCCTAAGTTCTTCAAAAACTTCCGAAACCCACATTCGATCAAAAACCCAACCAAAACATCTCCGGATGACCTGAAATTTTACACACACATCCCAAATCACCTAACGAAGCTACAGCAACTCTCGGAATTCCATTTCGACCCTCGGATCAAAATCTCACCTATCAACCGGAATTCGCCAAAATACTAACTTCGCCAATTCAAGCCTAATTCTACACCGGACCTCCAAAATCACTTCCGATCACGCTCCTAAGTCACAAATCATCCCCCGAAGCTAACCAAATCACCAGAAATCACATCCGAGCCCTCTAACTCATAAGTCAATATCCGGTTGACTTTTCCAAACCAAACCTTCCTTAAAGAGACTAAGTGTCTCATTTCCTTCTAAAATCAATCCAAACCAACTCGTTCACACAAGACTCTTATAATGAAGCATAAAGAAGCAGAAAATGGGGAAAACGGGGCGGTAACTCACGTGACGACTGGTCGGGTCGTCATATTTCCCCATTTAAAAACTTATCCTTTTTAATAACTTCAGTTAAAGGAGAAGCAATGGTGCTAAAGTCTCTCACAAACCTCTTATACAAACTAGAAAGTCCATGAAAACTCCTAACTTCAGTTACACTCTTAGGTTTAGGTCATTCCTTTATTGCTTTGATTTTCTCTTCATCGACCTCAACTCCTTTAGAACTAACTACAAAACCCAAGAAAATCACACGATTCACACAAAAATTACACTTTTTAAGATTAGAAAATAAAAGTTGCTTTCTAAGAACTTCAAAAACTTGTTTTAGGTGTTCTACATGATCCTCTAAAGTGTTAGAAAAGATTAAGATATCATCAAAGTACACCACAACAAATTTCCCATGAAAATCCTTAAAGATATGATTCATTAATCTCATGAAAGTGCTAGGTGCATTACTCAAGCCAAAAGGCATAACTAACCACTCATAAAGCCCATATTTGGTCTTAAAAGCAGTTTTTCATTCATCTCCAGGATTCATTCGAATCTGATGGTAACCACTTTTTATATCAATTTTAGAAAAGATTTTGGATCCATGTAATTGATCCAACATGTCATCAAGACGAGGAATGGGATGGCGATACTTTACCATTATCTTGTTGATTGCTCTACAATCCACGCACATCCTCCAAGTTCCATCCTTTTTGGGTACAAATAGGACGGGAACAGAGCAAGGGCCCATGCTCTCTCTCACAAAGCCTTTCTCAAGCAACTCCTCAACTTGCCTTTAAAGCTCTTTTGTCTCTTCTAGATTACTCCTATAAGCTGGCCTATTTGGGATTTGTGATCCAGGCACAAAATCAATTTGATGCTCAATGTCACGTAAAGGTGGCAATCCATTAGGAATATCTTCAGGAAAGACATCTTCAAAATCCTGCAAAAGAGAAGAAATACTACTTGGCAAAGAAGAAGTTAGTAACTCAGAATTAATCAAAGCTTCTTTGTAAGTAAGTAGCATTATGGGCAACCCCTCTTTTCTTGCATTTAAACACTCTTTGGCTTTTATATAGAAACTCTTCTTTTTTCTTTCCTTAGCCTCTTTCCACTCACCAAGACTTTTTTTTTTTCACTCAAACCCTTTTTTATCTCTTCTCTCAAATGGCTACTCTCTCTCTCTCTTTCTCTCGGCCATCTCTCTTTTTTTTCTAATTCTTGGCCTCCTTTCTTTTCTTTTTCCTCAAACTCACTTTTTATCCCTCCCCTTTGTTTTTCCATTGTTTCCCTTAATCTCTTTTGATCTTCAAACACTTGAGAAGGAGATAAAGGTGCAAGAGTAAGTTTCCTGCCATTTAGTTCAAGAGAATATCTATTCTTTCTTCCATCATGAAAAACATTCCTGTCATACTGCCAAGGATGACCCAGTAATATATGACAAGCTTGCATAGGTACTATATCACAAAGAATATCATCCTCATATCTACCAACATTAAATGAAATCATGCACCGTTTGTTTACCTTTAGTTCACCACTATCATTTAACCATTGGAGTCTATAGGGAGTAGGGTGTTTCATGCATGCAAGTCCCAGTTTTTCCACAAAGTATGAACTCACCACATTAGCACAACTACCACTATCAATGATCATAGAGCAAGTTTTTCCCTTTATCCCACACCTAGTATGGAATATATTCTCTCTTTGTGCTTCACTATTGCTTCCCAAATTGATAGTCATAATCCTCCTAACTACCCCAACCATTCCATCATTAGGTAGTTCTACATCATCTTCATCACTCACATCTCCCTCTTCTTCTCCCTCACTTTTTTCATTCTCATATCCTCCATCTTCTTTTAGAATGATGTTTCTTCTACTTGGACATTCATGCATCATATGTCCCCTTCCTTTACATTTATGACATTGAATAGAACTAGAAGGTGTAGAAGGTTTAGGGTTAAAGGTTTTACCTCCCTCTTTGTTCTCAAATTTACCTTTTCCCTTGTCTTCTTGAGGTCTAGAAGAACTCTTCTTCTCATGATTTGGCCATGGCTTCTTGGACATGGTGCTTGTCCGACCTTTTCACGAGCTAGTTTGCTTTCTTTTATTTTAATTTTCTACCTTTATAGACAAATCAACTAACTCATCTATTGTTACATATTGTTGTAATTCTACTACATCAGCTATTTCCTTATTTAAACCATTTAAAAACCTAGCCATTGTAGCCTCTTCTTCCTCCATATAATTAGCTTGGATCATAGCCATATCCATAGCCTTAAAGTACTCATCCACAGACATGGACCCTTGCTTTAATGTTTGAAGACGTTGTTGTAGCTCTCTTTGAAAGTGTGATGGTCCGAATCTCTTCCTCATCACCCTCTTCATCTCAGCCCAAGTAGCAATTGGTGCTTGTCCTTCTTGCAATCTATCCCTAGTAAGCTTTTTCCACCAAATAGCAGCATAGTCAGAAAACTCAACAACAACAAGTTTAACCTTCTTACCTTCAGAGTAGTTGTGACAGTCAAAGATGGCTTCAACCTTTCTCTCCCAATCAAGATACAAGTATGGATCCCTTGTTCCCTTGAAAGATGGCATCTTCATCTTTATACTACTTATATTATCATCTTCTACTCTACCTCTTTGTCCCCTCCTATCTCTTCGCACCATATCAAAATCAATATCATTAAAATAATCTATAAGGTTTTCTTGATTTACAATGGGAGCATGGGGTGCATTTCTCCTAGCTTGGGGCCTAACGTTATTTTTCCTCCTAAGTTCAGCTATTATATCATTTTGATCAGCAATGGTATCCCTCATTTCTTGGAGTTGCAAATTCAACCTTTCAAATTGTTGATGCATAGCTTGAAAGGTAAAATCATTTCTTGCTTTGATTTCGGCTTCTTGGAGAACCCTTCGTTCATCATCACTACCTGTATGCGACATCTTTTTAAAAAAATAAACTGTATCACACAAATTAGTTTCTTTTTTTTTCTCTCGGAATAACCTTTGAACAAAATACTTTGTAGATTTATAGTTAAACCCAACTTGTATGAAGTTCTTAGTAGTAAAAATTCAGATTTTTTTTTTGGAACAAAAAAAAAAGAACGAAATCCTAGAACTTTTAGGCTCAGTTGAAACAAGACACGAACAAAAAGGAAAGGATATAAATATGTAGATTAGAAAGAGTAAGAAAATCTAGGATCCGCTCTTCTTGTTTCCTTTGTTAATTTTTGGAAGCAAATTAGATACAAAAGAATTATCCTAGAAAGCAAGCAATTGTATTTTTCTTAAAACTGATTTTCGTTTTTTTTTTTGCTTCTGTTTTTTTTTAATTCTTTTTTTTGTTGCTCTTAGTATTCAAGATATCCCAAGAATTATCGAGAATGAAATCTTGATAGAACCGCTCTGATAACAACTAGGTCGGGAATCCAAACTAGAGTAAGAATTTGAGAAGTAAATGCGGAAGCAATAACAACAAGGAATTGAACAACTAGAATTAAAGAGATGAAAAATAAAGGATATGGGAAAATTTCAAGGAAAGAATTCCAAGAACGCAAGTTCTATAGTCTTGACAAGATCAAAGTAACAACGTCTTGATTTATGGAACAAATCAAACGCCTTTACTTAAAAGCAAACCAAAATAATAGATTCGGATCTTGACCGCTTTACGAGTAACTTGAGACAACAATTAATAACTAGTATTAATCGCCTTCTAAGAATACCATAAAGAAATCAAAGATATCATAAAAGAGAAGTAATCTTACTACCTTGAACTATGAACTAGTAAATGTTGAAAGATAAATCTCAAAGCACAAGTTAACAAAGGTTCAAAAAGAACTCTCAAAGTATGATATACTTAATCAATAATGTAGTGTCTTAATGAATGAGAAGAACTCCCTATTTATAGGAGTACTAAGGCTATAAAAACGTCCTTAAAATTAGGTAGGTGATTGCTAAGGCATCCAAAGTCATTACAATTAGGTGGGTGGCCAAGACCCTTTGGGGCAGATTTGGGCCTTAAAAAAACTAGTTTGGGCCATTGTTTGGCTCCAATTTGGGCTTCCTATTGTAACACCTCCTTTTGGACCTCTTTAGCACATTTTGAGCCCATTTGGTGGACTTCAAGGGCTGATTTGGGTGACCCAATCTTCCTCCTCTTGGACTACAATTTGAGCCACCAAATAATTTTAAAACTTACACAATTCTTCTCCTTTGGGCTTGAGCACTTCCTCTATAGTTAGAAGCTTCTTTATTTGCCCTTGAAGTCCAGCAACCTTAGTCTGTCATTCTTTAGCTTGAGATCTTGTGAATGGCCTTCTTAGAGCTTTCAAAACTCTATCCTTATCTGTGATGCTATCACATTCTTTGAAAGTAATATAGTTATTTAGCCAACAGTTTCTTTATATAACATAATATATATGTGGAACAATTGTAGCTTCTACTCTACTGTTTTCCGAATCCTTCTTCCATCTATTTTCTTTTGCTTCTCTTCCTCTTCTTTTCTCTAAGGGACTCTAAATTTAGGAATTGGACATGTAAGCAGGATCTGATGCTTTTGTTGGGTATTCCTACAATACTACTGCAAAAAAGAAGGATTACAACAACAAATGTTTATGGAGTGAGACTTCTACCAGAAATCTTCTTTTGTCTTTCTCATGGAAGTAGGCAGAAGAATGTACTATTGCAAATGTATTCTTTATATCTTGTACAATTTTGTTCCTCAAATGAATATACATAGTAGCCTTATTATGTTAATATCTAATCAGCTTGATAGTGTTCTTCCTTTAGTAATCTTGCTAAACAGTTATACAAGTAAGAAATTATCTTTTTAGTGACAAACCTTCTCGGTACAACAATATTGTGGACCCGTGCTACAATGGTGTCGAGCGGGCACCAACCATCTAGTTTTGATTACAATAAAATTAAATAAGGGAGATAAGTGTAATATCGTAAACGATAAGGGAAGACATGTAATGGAGCAAAACGTGAGAGGAGATCTCAGAAATTATCCCAAACTATTTTGAAAGGAAAAAAATAGAGTAATTTTTACTTCAAATTAATGCATCAAATGAATCGGTAATAATTAATGTAAAATTTAAAGTAACGTTCTTCATTTGCATAGTTGGAAATTAGAGCTAATAAAGAAATATATAGAAAAGCAAGCAATTATACATTTAAAATGTTTGGTTCCAGAAACAAGTATTCTAAATGTTTGCAGCACTGTTTATGAAAGGACCTACATATATAACTTATCTGAGATAAAGCTTTAAACTTAAAGCATGAAGAACCCAATGCCTATTGAAATTTAACAATGTCAAAGTTCTTATGTATCTAAATCCTGATATATGAAACCGAAACTGACACAACATAAAATATTAAGAACCAGAAAAGACAAATTAATTTTTGTATATTATGTCTCGATTTAATCAAGCACTCAAATTTAGCAGACGTTAACTCCAGACTCTAAATCAAACTAGCTTTTCCAAAGAAGAATACAATTAAAACAAATCCACACACATGCAAACTGAGACTTACTTATAGTGATGATTATTAGTCAAGATAGGCGAAAGTCTTGGCGGCCAATTCATCAAGCTGAGTGGTGGCAACCTGTTTGTAAACTCCAGCATACACCACCGAGACACAAGAGAAGGGTCAGACAACATAGGTTGTGCCTATAACTCTCTGATTTCATCGAATAACTCCAATATGACTCCTCCCATGTAGAGCACGCTTTCACTTACCTTAGTAAAAAACCGAGGGTAAAAATGCAATTGAGATGATTTTTCAAGGGATGGAGGAAAGCAAAATGTTCCTTCTGCTCTTCTTTGGATGTAATTTTTAATATATGTCGACATGAATTTCGTAACTATTCCTCATATGTCTGTCAACTGTGTGCTTCTAAATACAGGTAATCCAAGAGTGACTCTTGAGGTGATAAGAGATGTTTGTTTATTGGCCAGAATGATGGCAACTAATTTGTACTATTCGCAAATGGAGGACCTCATGTTTGAGGTCAACAAGTTTTTCTAATCTTAGTCTTTATCCAGTTTGACATGTTGTGCCATCTCAACACTGTTTTATATTTATTTCTTACTTGCACATTCTTTCAGTTATCTATGTGGCATTGCAACGATGATCTTTGTGTGTGATAAGATGAAGTACTCCACAGTTCTTCAAGGAGAGATGCAAAACACTACACAGGTAACTCATGTGATTGCTATTAATATTGAGCTTGTTCCATGAAATTGAATCAAAGAAAATTCCCCTTCTTCTAAAAAATAAAGAATTTAACTCCACAATTTTTTATTTATTCGAATTTTAATACAGTCTAATACAAATTCCTTTTCAGGATGCTTTTCGCTCTGAAAGAAGGAAGGCAAAGATGCTCAATTTTTAAACTGCGAACGTGAAAACTACAATTGGACTACAGTTGGACTTGCCCTGATTGGAAGGTACCTCGGCATTTTGAATATCTATAATTACGTTTATTTTATAGAATTTAGTGGTTCTGTGTGCGCTAAATAAACACTATTTCATACTCAGATCTCCATTAAAGGAAGCTAAGGAAACAGTTGATCGGTGGTATTATGGCAGAAAATAAGTGTCAGATTGGCAGGAACAACGCAAATTTGAAACACGCGAGTTCGGATGTCTTCATGCACTTCTAGGACGGGCAGGCTGGTTCCCGTCAGTAAAAAAGTACAACTAGAATTGTAAAAGGTCATATAGAACGAGCTGCTATCAGTATTCCAGTGCAGATCCATCATAATACACTTTTGCTCTATTTTTTGTGTGTCTTGCCATCATCGCTCCTCCTTCTAAGAAAAAATTAGGTTGTCATGTATTCCATACTGACTTCTGGAGTTATTGACAAGGAAGTGCAACCGGCGTCGTTATGTGTGCCGTGTTAGAGATATCAAAGAATGCACGACTAGAGGAGCTCATATAGAATGAGCTGCTATCAGTACTCCAGTGCAGGTCCATCATAATACAGTTTTGTTCTATTTTTTGTGTGTGTTGCCATCATCACTCCTCCTACTAAGAAAAAATTAAGTTGTCATGTATTCCATACTGACTTCTGGAGTTATTGACAGGGAAGTGCAACCGACGTCGTTATGTGTGCCATGTTAGAGATATCAAAGAATGCACGACTAGAGGAGCTTGGATGAAAATTGCTTTTATAGGTATATCTTACGTTGCCCTTTACTGGACTCGTCTCATTTTAGGAAAAGGAAAAAGTGAAAAAAGGTAGTGATCAGAAGATTGGAAGGAGTATAACTTGGATATGAGAATGGACGGTGTGCGCATAACTATTTGAGTACAATAATATATATATATTTTTTTAAACTTTACGTGTTGCATAAAAATATTACATAAGTGTATGAATCTGAACTCTTTGAATATGTATTTGACTACGTGTAGCCTTTCATCTCTCATTTAAAAGTCAATAGTGAATATAGGTTCTCTATGATATTTGCATTAAATTTAACATTCTCAGCTAACAATACTAATTTAATTTAGTTTCTGGTGCGTTGTTAATTTGGATTGTACAGATGGTGCGTGTTGGTTAGAGTGACTAAATAAACTTTTATTTTTCCCCTCATTGGTTTTCTTAAGTCGTGAAATATGAAAGAAGACACAGGAGATTTGTGTGCAGCCAATAAAGTTCTTAAGGAACTGTGAAGTAGAGCTGATTAACTCTCCCTTACTAGCATCAATAAGGCTTTTGTTAGGGCACGATGCGTCTGTCCAACTACAAGTATGACTTTTTCAGTTTACAATTTTCATTTCACACTATTTTCAAATTCATATATATATATATATGACCAATTTTACCTTAACATTACTAAAAAGATCTTTTCACTTCTCTATGAAGTTTTTGTCCTACCTATAAGGTTTACCCTCTTTTCTAAGTACTGTTACTTTATCACATTTCTGTAAAAGTCATTAGTTATATTGGTATGAATTAGTCATCTTGTTGGATTTATTAGTTGTTGTTTTTGACTTGAGACTCGAATGCTATTGTATGTAACGACAAGCTTCCTATTTCTTCAGTTCTAAACTGTTCAACGACAATATGGCATATTTGTTAAATTAGTGTAGGGCTTTGATTTAGTACATCTAATTTCGTTCTAGCTAAGGGAAGTATTTGTATTCTTGAAGAAAAAAAATAAATATGTGTACATTTCTTTCCTTTGCTCCATTGAATACAACGTTGGCGTTTTCTACGCTACAATGCAGAGACTTCATTTAGCTTTTCCAGGAGTTTTTGTTTTGGAATTTTTCAGTCAATAATTTGATTATTACTACAAAAGAAGAA